CCTGCTGATGTGAGAGCAGAAGCAATGGGTAGATTCAGAGTAGAGCTGCGGCATCTTAGTTGGTCTAATCGCTGTAAAGATTCCTCACCTACCACGAACCCTGTCTCCTTTGTTGCCTGGCAACAAGCTGCCACCCAAGGGCTCCCATGATCTGATCTCTTAAAATCTGTCCCCCTCCACCACCACCCTTCCTCTAATGTCTACATTTTTTACATCGCAATCAATTTTTAACCACCCATCAAACCCTCCTTGTCATCTTTACTGCGCTTTTCAAGCCAGCCTCTGATTTGTGGTCATGATTCACTCTCACAAAGAAGAATAACTTGTTATTGACTGGAAGTACAGATGGCTGTGATGAGAAAAGGCATAACAGGGTTTTACTTCAGAACATTTTGGCTTTCAAACACAAAAGTTTCATTGTGTGTTTATGCATCGATGATATATTGCTTCTTCTCGGCGCCTTTTATTTTCTTGTCACACCAGATACTGCAGCCTGTCAATGACTCTGCGGCGTTTTTCTGTTGGCCTCTTTCTCTCTCTTCGCCCCCCTTTTTCATTTAAGTATATTATTGTTCAGCTTTTATGTTGCGCTCAGACGTGACCGGTGCTGTTGTCACAAACATTTGTGCATGTGGTGCTTCAAACATAAGCAGAAAGACGGCTGCTTGCCTGCCAGTTAGAAGATATTAACCTATTAAAAACATTAGCTGAACTAAAGTGAAAGAGTCACTTTATCACAAAGAGCTAACGGAATTAGTCACGTCTGAGGCAAGGTCACCGAGCCGCCTCCCACACTTGGCAGCCGGCGGCGACTCCAGGGACAAACGTTCTGCACATTTGAAGCTACGAGTCATTAGCAGTGCTGATAGAAATGCACTTTAATTAAGAGTGCTGCATTTTGGACTTAGATGTCACATCTGAAGATTAATAAGTAATATCAGGGGTGTGCTGGTATGTAAATAGAACAGACATGCCTCCAAGCTGAACTGGTGCACTCTGGGTACCACTGAATGGAGCCAAATTAGCATTCTGGAACACAAGTGCTCAGTGCCCCCTCCTAGGCTGAAGTGCCTGGCTCCTCTTGTGGGCGAAATATTACCAGCCAGCTGCTCGCTGGATAACAAATAAGAACTGGAGCAGCAGAGGGTTGGAACATATGCAGACATTTGTGCTTTTTACACTAAATCGAGCTTGCCTCTAAATGCAGGTCAACAGAAGACTGTCAGGTCGCTGTGGTGCCGACCCTCACTGTCCTCCTTGTCAGTGTCTTTTCAGTTGTGTTATCAAGAAATTGAAACTTCTTCTTAGTGGGTTTGGACAACTGGGGGAGCCAAATGATGCCTTTCCCTTTGCATTAAACATTAGGAGAGCTGATATTTATTCTTCTCTGGCGCAGCCTGTTGACTTCCTGTTAGCACCTTGCACACAATGGCATAAAATAAGTCAGAGCTGCCACTCTTCTTCAGGATGGTGAGTGCGGTTTTATTGGACTGAATAAATAGCACAGATTCTGATCATATTAAGAATAACTTCATGGTGCCTATGATACCTAAACATTGTATTCATCATTTTGAATTAGTTCATTTTGTAATGATTGTGATTCTTCATTTTGGGGGGAGGGTCCATAAACAAATTGAGCATCTAAGGGCAGAAGTGTCATGTGCTGTGCAGCTTGAAAAGGCCTTTGTGGCTGTAATATTGTGCTATACAGATTAAATGTACCTGCCTTGGAAATGTCAAAGCTTCAGAGCCCAGTGCTTTTCTCTGGGACTAGGGTTCACATCATGGGTGAACTGGATTCAAAGATGACGCCCAGTCACAATGCAAAACGAGCCAAAATGTTTAGCTTCTAGTTTCAAAATTTGCTTCCACATGTGGCCCCACTGCACTGCTCATTAGTGTTTGTCCTCTTTTTAAACATGTTTATAGCCTAATACAGAATTATTGCCCATTGTTATGTTGAAATTCCTGATGACTGCTGAGCTTCTTCCACCATCAACATTCATATAAGCTGAATCACAGCCTTCTTTTAATTTTAAAGCACAAACAGTTTGGTTCAATTCGGTTTTATTTGTATCTCGCCAATACACAACAGCGATGGTCTCGGGGCACTCGAGTGAGTGGATAGAGGACAGAGAAAAGAAGAAGAGCATTGGGACACACACAACAACACAATTAAACACTGGGCAGGTTGATGTGGCTGCTCATCAGAAACGTAGCGCTCCGGAGCCAGGGCGACCTGTGGAAAGTACAGGGATAGAGACAGAACACACTATGGGAGAGAGGAGACAAAGTTAATGCCATGTAAAGGTGGCATATAAAAATAAATAAATAAAGGATAAATTAAGGATCATACAGCCAGCCCGGTGTAGCCACTCCAGCTTCCCATAACAAGCTTGGCAGCGGCCTGCACTTTGCCCTGTGTTTTTCTGCCTCCTTCAACCACAAGAAGGAAAACCACTCATGTGAAATTGTTGAGAAATACCAAGGTGTGTTACCCCGGCTGGTCTCCTGGCAATGTCACCTCAACAGATGCATCTGTGTGTGTCTTTTCATTTTCCAGCGGAGCATTAATGCAAAGGTAATTACGCGTGCAGCATGAGAAAAACAAGCAAACAGTATTCATGGAAAGGTTATGGTTGGAAGCTAAACCACCATAATTAAGTCATTAATCTGGCCAGACAGCATGTTTCTCCCACAACCCTGCAGTTTGGTGTCATTTACACCTGTCTGCTGCTTTGGGGCGTTCCGATTTGGATGATTCACAGTGTTCCTGTGTGTGTACGTGCATACATGGTGTGAAGGATTATTATAATGACAAGCGATCACTTTTGAGTGTAACTCATCAGCTTTGATGGTATTTTTATGCCTCTAAGAAACACAGGAGGTTAATGTGTAGGCTTTTCATTTCTATCACTGGGGTTGTTGGAAAATGAAGACCGTAGTATGTCACTACTAAAGCATGCTGCTGATGCTCTGTATGTATGACTCTCACTTGTGTTTCCCTGCTTTGTAGACGTTTGGCATCAGCAATTAAGCAAGGCCAGAGCTACTTCCACCTCCTGCAGAAAGAGGAGCAGGAGGAGAGGCAGCGGAGGAGAAGGGAGGAGCAGCTGAGAATGGAGCCACAACCTCCATTCTCCTCTGACTTGGACAGCTATTCAGAAGGGTGAGGCGACAATCCGCATCAGCTCCACTGGCCTAGTTACAAGATGTGTGTAGTCAGATAAACGCTATACTTCTTTCTTTAAGCCCTCGAGCCAGACTTTTCCAACAACTAGGGTCTTCATTCCAAAAACTATTGCACTTTTTACATTTTTTATTACTTTACAATGTCAGCAATAAGAAACCTGGTGGCTGAGAAGTTAAGGTGCCAGCTATGAACCAGAATGTCCTGGTTTCCATCTGATCTTTGTTTTATGTCTTCCCCCACCTCTCACTGTCCTCATTTCCTGTCATCTCTTTACTACTGGCTTTATGGCACCAAATGTATGTCAATCAACTTGGCACTGACAGCGTGTGGGAATTCTTTGCCTGGCTAAAGAGAGTGTTGTATGTTATACTGATTATGGTATGTTGCACAGATTTCATAATTGGATGTGTGTAATATTGTAGTTTTTGCAGTAGCCTACAATGTATCAGTTGCTGTGTAGAGTCACATGGTGGCTTGAATGTTAATTTGCAACACTGAATTCATCTGTATAATGTGATAATGGTCAGATTTAGAGTATGGTAGAGTAAAAATAGACACAAATATCTGAAGCTTTGTTCAAAGGCATCAACATGAATAAAATGACTATGTTGAGCCCTAGTCAAACCCACATGCAGCCACTACAGTTTCATTATAGTCGTGCTGTTAATGTTCTCATCGTGCCTACAAATCACTGTTAATCACGTCAGTCACATTATTATTCCTATATTCGTTAAGGTGGCTCGTGCCTGCAGGAAGTAGCTGGCCAGGTGGGAGCGATGCAAGATGCTGGAGGAAGAAGAGCCAGTCAGCTCGGCCTTTCACCCCTGTCCATCACTCTCTGACCTCCCCTCTGCTGAGTGAAGCACCGAGGTGAGTTTGAGATATATCTTTATGAAAATATTTATTTCAATGTACTTTGAACAATTGCAACATTTTATGGCATAAAACTTGAATGTGTGATTTTACTGGGCCACAGCAGATCAATACTGGGGCACGTGCCCCAGTAAAAGGGGCCTAATGGCACCTATGTGGACGACCTCACCATATGTAGTTTGTAGGTAGAGATATTGTCATTTTCCGTTGTACACTGTATTCTTTCTTCAAAAAACTTCAAATAGCCACAAAATGAATTACTGGTATCAAAAGTATAACATAAAGGCAAATCTAAAAAATCTCAGAAAATCAGTGAGTATCTCTCATTTCATCATCATTTACCATAGTTTGGTAGCACATCTGTGTATTGGCCCTTCTTGTCACGCTCAAACTGTTCATTCCTTGTTTAAATGAGGACCCAGGTTTTGATGTGATTTTCAAAACACTCGCCATGCCCTGCTCCACAGGAAAGGAAAAAGCGAGATGTTTGAAGAGTGTTTGATTTTAAGGAATTGCTGCTCCTGTTCCACCTCCTCCTGTCAGAGTGCCTCCTTTTGATTCGTGTCAAACAGATGTGTTGCTACACTTCAGCAAACATCACACAAATAAGAACAAACAGGCAGATTGCAGACAATGACAGATTCTCCCAGTGCTTTCATTTTATATTTCTTTCGCACAGCAGGTTCCTTTGATGCAGGTTCCTGCCTGAAGTGAAACCTGCATCTGAGAGGTTTTCTCTTCCTTGTTAGAAACTCTGGTGTCGGCTGACAGTAAACCCACTCATAAGTCAGATTCACAAAAGCAACATTTAGTCGTTTCTGTTCAGCAAATGTGGTGCAGTGCTTTGATCTTGATTGCAGTGGTGCCTGCAATCCACAAGTACCAGCTTTTGTACCAAAATAAAAAACACATTATGTTGTGATAAGTATGTGTCTGAAAATTATTAAAGGACAATGTAGGAATATTTTAGCTTTCACACTAGAAGATACTAGCTGCAGCAGTTGTTTGCTAAAGGGCCAAGATGTGTTTACACTCTATTATTATTTTTACCCCATTTATCATTCAGTGTAATATAAACTGCTATCACTTAATAGTACATTTTCATTACACTACATACTCTTTGGATCCCTGAAAGAAATATGAGCAGTAAAGTTGAGGTCTGGAAACCGGCCAGCATAAGTGGGGTCTAAAATTTTAATATGGTTTATAACACACTATAATGTAAATGGATATGAATACTTTAGACATACTTTAGACAATAACCTGACCAAAGCACCCTTAGCTAGTTTGGAAACAGTTCAGAAATGTATATATAGAAACAATACTCTACCAAAAATGTGTGTAAATGATACATTAACATTTTAAGTGAGTCCAACATGAAGTGAAGCAGCTGGGGCTGTTTTTATGGCAAGTCCAAGTCAAGTCAGAAATATTTATAAAACCCCCAAATGTGATGCATAACACATAACTGTAATGTCCATGGTTCATTTCCTGTTCAAAAAAAAATTTAAATAAGTAAAAGAAATACAGATTGCAAATCTTTAAAGCTTCTGAGTACTGACCTTGACTAACATTTTCATTTCAAAGCTGTTTTTTTTTTTTTCTTTTTTCTGTCATGCTTGAGTCCAGGCCTCAGTTTTCATGTGCACAGGTCTGCATGAAGCCATTCTAAAATAAAGTAAGGACATCTTATTGGTTCATTTATGAACTGCACTGAGTCACTTTTCAAACATTTTTGGAAGAGCAATGGCCTTGCTCATTTATCCACCTCACATTTACTATGAATAACTTTCCCAGGAGTGCGCTGTTGGACAATAAACTTATACTGTAGTATTTACTGTATTAAATTGTGCCATAAACCATTTACCTATCATTTATATAGTTATATTAGAGTCTGAGTGGTTAAGGTTTTCTTTCAGGTTTCCTCCATGCTTTGCATTTGTCGGTGCACTTCTCCACAAGGACAAATCTTCACTCTATAGTCTGTGTTTATGAAACATCACCTCCCACTCAATATGCATTTGCCCTGACACTGCATTATTGCCACTGCCAGAATACAGCCTTGTTTTCTAGGGAGACCTGTGGAAAATAACAACCCTGTTTGAAGGCTGTTACCTGACATCTGACAGATCCTGATCTACCTGCCTGACAGATAAATGGCCTTGTCGGTAATGAAAAGAGCTCGGAGCAATCCAGGGAAGCAATATTTGTGTGCAGGGGCGAGTGTGGCAGAAAATGGAGGCGGAAATCATATTGTGTTTGATGTGTTAGGAGAAATCATGGGAATGGATGTGGTCATAAAGCCTCAGTGTGAAAGTGTCGGGGTGACGGACGGCAACGCTTGACTGCAGGTGACACTGAAACCAAGCTTTTAGAGAGACAGTGTGTTTTGCATTTGTTCCCACTACAGCAACTCTTGTACTGAAGGGCCGGGCCTCTTGTATCAACGTTTTCATCATCTTTGATCTTCAACAGAAAACGTGACTGGAAATGAAGGATTTCATTTACTGAAGAGGGCGTTTCACCATTGGTTTGGTGTAGCACTGTGTAGCTTTTCATTTGGCCAAATTGCATTCCTGGTCAGAATAAGAGACATATAGAAAAATATGGCTATGACATCCTGAGCTATACTACTTTCACTTACAAGTCTGAACATTCTTTCAAATACATATCAAAATCTACTATGAATGATGATTCAATAAGAGCCAAGATGTCTGTCCATAATTACTGTCTCTCTGAAAGTGTGGAGATGTGAAGTGTTACATATTTTTAGTCCGTATTAGATGTGATACCAAATTATGTGTCCTGCTAATAGGGGTGTAACGATACAACCAGCTCACCATTCAGTTCAACACGCTCACAATAACACAGTGAGAATGAAAACTATTATAATTTAAAGTAATAAAAACTATTTCCAAACATTTTGTTTCCTTTTCAAACCTTTCTCTTATTCTGTAGGTTAGTGTAATCAGATTAGCATGTGGCTAATGGCTAGCATAGCTAACTCTAGTGAAAGTCAAGGTCACCAATGGGTCAGTCAAGAAAAACAAATCTCACCTGTTGCCCCCTTGACTTGGTATTGTGAGCCACTTTTACATTGCATACTGTCACATTTTTAAATCGCAGTATATTCTTCCACAGTGCGTTGCTATACCACTACCTGCTAACTATCACCATATCAACAGTCCCGTTCTTTACAGACGAAATTTATCTAGAATGCTTATTTTTAACCCCTCCTACATGCATGTTAGAGTTGGGTTGTGTCCCAACCTCCTGAAGTGTGGTAAGAAGAAGGTAAATAAATTAAACTGTTTCTGTTATAAATTTTTTTGTGACATTTCTGTAAATAATTAATACTTGACCCTTCTTAGGGTTGAGATTAATGACATGGTGTATTTAGAGAAATAGTTGAGCAAAAGAATTTTTAAGTTAAACATTGTCAGTTGAACCTAAATTCGTCATTTTTATAATCCATCATAACTCTTGAGTGCATCTAAAGTAAAAATGTATTTAATTTCAAATAGCTCTGTTGGTACCAAAAACGAAAATGGCTGATACTAAATACTGGAGTTCAGCATTTTGGGCGTCTGGATGGGCTAATAGAATATGTGACATTTATTTTATACGGTAAGTAGGGTTAGGATGTTTTAGTTGCTTGGTTTACCTTAAGTCAGAATGATCGTGATAATAGGGCATTGATGGACTTGGATAGATGTTGAAGTTCTTTGTGTGCTTCTGCAGGGAGGTCATCTACCGCCAGCTCTGCTGTCTGAATTGGTTGCTGGAGGCACTGACTCTGGATCGGTCCGGCAGAGTCGGCCCCCTCACTGCCTGCTGGGATCCCAAGTAAGTTATTCTGGGGTCAAAAGGTTATTGCCACCCACACACTCAACTGACCAGTGATCAGTTAGAACAAGTATGTGGATAAGTAGTTTGCTTTTAAAGCTGCCTAAGGCAAGATTTGTGTCTAAAAATACACAATGCGCCCTTCCTGTTTAAAAGTCATAAACACTTTTGCTATTATTGCCCAAACAAAGTGTAGCTTTTTTTGAAGTAACACTGGTGGAAAAATGTTCTCACTACACCTGCTGTGAAACATTTTACAGGCATCGTATTTTATGACATTCTGGTACTGAAGCTTAAGGTCGGAGATGCACCCGGAAACATTTTTCTCCTGAATACTTTAGATGTTTTAGACATTGTTCATGTTTGATGGGACAATAGTGCAATGGGACTCAGAAGCACATGGAGCATCAGGAGCATGACGGTGTCATTTACTATGGTGTACAGGTGGTCAGTGGATAAACTAGGACATTTTACTTTTGTTTAACATTTATGGAGAAGCTTCTGATCACATCAAACTAGAAGGAACATATTGTAACCGAGGAGTTTTTTAGGGAATTGCACAATTCGAGTGTAGTACAAATGACATTGTTTTTGTTGTATCCACAATATTGTAACCGAGGAGTTTTTTAGGGAGTTGCACAATTCGAGTGTAGCACAAATGACGTTGTTTTTGTTGTATCCACGTGACTCGCATTTTAGTTAAATCTGCACATGCATGGCAGTTTAGGAGCTCAGTGGTGTTCACACCAGAGCTGGATACATGTCACTTACAAACACGAATGTGAACCATCAACACAAACAGACTGGATGTAAACATTGGATTTGAGCAGTAAGGCCTGTAATGTGAACACAGTGTAAAACACAGCAGCATGACAGCAGTGACCTCTGCGTGATGACTGACGAGTACCTTCTGTCAAGTCCACGCTGTTTTTAAGTGAGCCACCTCGAGCGACGTTGTGTCTGTACTGTAGAGGGCCAGATGATGAAGAGTAGGGATGACCAGGAGCTGCAGTCACCAGCTGACAGTGCTGGATGAAATATAGCATCTAAAGCACCGGAGGGGGTCTGTGCTTAGTGAGGAGATACATTCTTCCATCTTTGTTCCTTCTTCTCCCTCCTCAGGGTCCAGCTCCTACCATACTGACCCACCACAGGGAGTTGACAGTGAGGAAATGGAGAGAAAGTGCAGAAGCAGCAGCTGTGTGGTGCTTAAACTCATATATTTAACCCACAGAGCTGCTGATGCATTGCATCTGTAGTCTGCTGTAATTCCTCAAAGGTAGTTCTCTCCAAGGTTCTGTCTTTACATCTCTTTTATATTTTCTTTCCCTTGCTTGATGTTGATTTATGATGATCTTTATGATCTCTCTCCTACGCTCATTCTGTCATGTTCCGTTTTCTGTTGCTTTGATGGTAATAAGACAGGCAGGGAGTATAATGATTTTAATGCTGCTGCTTCTTCAAGTGTTGGAGGAGACCTGGACTGGGAGAATAGATGAACTCGTAAAGTTTAAAGGCAACCGTGCTGCGTTCAGCCACAATGGCTCTTTGTAAAAATGTAGTAGGGGAATAGTATTGCACGCCACTGTAAGTCTTGAATAATTGATGGAAACATGAAAAAGAAAAGAAGAAAGGGGAAGAAAACAGCTACAGTTTTTTTTTATACCTAAACTTCATCACGTTGAAGCCTCCAGGACCTTGACTCTGCTTCAAATCCAATTTCTCTGGAAGTCTTAAGCTTTACGGACCAAATGATCCAGCTGAGCTATTACTGTACAGGAAGACAAGGAGAGGATGAAATGAAACATTATCACAAGGTTATGATGCTGCTGGGTCCTCCACCGGGCAGGCAGCTCTGATGTTGGGCATCAATCTGAAACACTGCACAGTTTTTACGATATGATGAATTATGATTTTGATAATGGCCAGAGCGGCTCTCGAGCTGTCTCTGCCTTGAAGGCTGGTTTTGACTAGTGGTGAGTTGCAGAAGGTCACTGGACTGATGAATGTATCACAACAGCAGCTATTATTTTCCATTTGCAGAGACCCTGGCCGAGGCAGGACCACAATAAGGACACTGAAAAAAGAGAGGGCCATTGAGAACAAATGGGAGCAGTTTGTTTCGACCAAGGTATTCCTCACTTTTACACAGTCTACATACTTTATTTTATTGATTTTTAAATTAACTCTAAACCTTATATCTTGATGCACATGCTTACATCCACAGGTGGACTCAATAAGCAAAAAGCATTATACTCTTTAGTGGGTGGCAGTAGAGGACATCTACTGTTGCTGAACTACTGGGTTTCATTCCACCCTGATAATTAGGCTGGTGACAGCGTCACACACACTTAAGGCTGGGTCTTCTATGACAGACAGGTGGAAGAGAAGGGGGAGAGAGGCGAAGAAGAGACATGTCTGGTTCCTTCCTGTTGCTCATATGCCGTCCTCAGTTGAGAGATAGGTCTATCTATTGGTGCCAAGCTGCCGTCTGTCAGCTTGTCAGTGTGTGCGTGTGTGTATATTTGCATATTTCTGCACTGAGGAGGGTCAAGTGTCCCCGCAAGGAGCTGATATGAATTTAGGCATTAAGGAAAATAATACTTATTTAAAAATGGCTATTATTACAAGAATCATTCACCATTTCTGGGATTTTTGTTTCTGGTTGATCTGCTTAACTTTTTTATGAATATCTGGCTAAGAACAGGTGGCTACCTGTCACACTGAGATATTTCTAGTGTGGCAAAACTGGAACTTGATGCAAAATCTAAACTTTAAAAGATCTAAAAGTGGTGAATGCCACGTTTTGGTCAGCCCCTAAGAACTAATATCAAGCTCCCCTGTTCTTTGTTGACATTAATTACACAGAGAAAAATTACGCAATTATAGCCTATTAAATTTAGACAACTGTCTGCCTTTGACCAAAACCAGCTCTTCTCAAGGGGTGTGAGGTCAACAAGCAACCTGGGTAATGTAAGACATGGCTAACCTAACAAGATGATCCAGGTGTGGCTACACCAGAAACATACATTACAACAGCAAATCTCTGAATACTATAAATTCAAGTTTGCATTGTTGCAAATTTAAATAGACATTTGAGAATTAGAAGTTAAAATAAAATAGCCCTTTTTCAAGACCAGAGTATAAATCTGGCAAAGTGTTAGACTGTACAAATAATTACACCTAATATAACAGAAGCTAATTAAACACCATTATATTATTGAAGGGTGGATTATTCTTTAAAATTCAACTGTAAAGAATAGGAAATTATTATAAGATTAGGATTATATGTAGACACCACAAGCACTACTCTCCTGTAATCTTCTGTGGTAGGAAATCTGTACTGACATTTCTGGGTTGAAAGTCCAAAGTCTGTTGCATTTGTGACCACAACACACTTTAATGTATGTGATAACCTAAACACATGCTGTCCTTTATGAACCAAACTCCATTTTATCATCTCCCTTTTCTTGCTCCAAAAGCCTCAGAGAGCTCATCCCAGGCGCCCTCCCAGCTCCTCTGCTGCCCTCCACACTTGGAGAAGATCTTCTTTCATGAGTGTGGCCTCCTTCTCAGGCCTCACCTCCACCACTGTGGGCAGCAGTCTGTCTTCTTTGGTCCCAGGCCTCGAGGAGGACATGGCAGCGGTGGAGACTGACCAACGTCCATCAGAATGTAAGTTGTCAAAACTGTTTAGCTAAACGTTTTAGCATGTTTGGATGTAGAGAAATAATGGAATAGCTTTAATAGGGGGAGTTAAACATTATTGGGTGGAGTAAGAACCTGCAGTTTTTCTGATCAAGCAACAGAATCATTTTAAAATTGAAAGGGTTGACAGAAGAAGAGCAGTAACCAGAGTTTTCCACTGGATTGATCAATATACTTGTTAGTCAGCTAATGCTAACACTAGCGTCAGACTGGAGGCTGCATTTTGTACTGATTGTCACAACCAGGCATCTGTAGTTTACACTGTTGCTAGGAAACAGGATGTGATTGGAGGGGCAAAGAGTGATTAGGAGCAGCTTATGGTGTCAGTTTGGTTTGAGTCTCACTAGAACCTCGTGGTTGAAAAGACATTGCTTGAACTTACCAAGTCATATAGCCTCACTTTTGTTAGCAGCAGCAGCATTAATCTGAACCCAATTTAAACCTAAATTGGACCTAAACTGCACCTAGAAGGAAAAAGAATCAACCAAAACAATCTGTCTTCACAAAAAAAAAAAAAAAAAAAAAAACCTGCAAGGGTACAAAATCTCAACATTTTTCCACAGGAAACTCGGACCTGTTGTCATAGAAACAGCTCTTTGACATTAACTCTGTCATTTTATTCCTGCAGCTAGAGATAGAGACAGTGTTATAAAAAAAAGATGTCACCAAAATTCCCTTTCATGAACACACACACTTGCCCACTCCCTGCTGAGTCAGAAATGGAAACCAAAATATAAGTTAGGTCTGCCTTTTCACCAGGACTCAGCACTCCTGTAGCGTATGCTGCACCGCTTCCCAGAGTGCATCACTTCAGGCTTCATAGCAGAGTATAATTAGTCATCTGATCTCCCCCACCACCTCCACCTCCTGTAGATTACAGGTTTTATATCATTACCTCCCGGTGAAAGGCTGTTCAGCTTGTTGTTGCTGCCTGAGCCGGTGTCAGGGTTGCTGTTGTTCTCAGTTTTTTCTCTCCCCCCCATCTTCGTTCTCTAATCATAAAAGGAGTCCAAAAATCACAGGATTACTTTAGCGTCATTGGTTTGAAGCAATTAACCGCTGTTCTAGCTAATCCCCAGAGTTATGTGTCAAACCCAGAAACTGATGCACAGCTCTGGCCATTGTTTTCCTGGTAAATTAAGTTGAAAGAGAAGTTGTCTGCTTTGAGAAGAGCACAAGAAGTTTTTCAAACTCTTTGTTGAAAAAAGGAATTGTAAAACTTTGAATAATTAGGAGCTCATCTGACAGTGATTTTTTTTTTTTTTGCAGTGCAGAGAATTAATTTGACACATTCTTCTGTGATAATTAAAATAAGAACTCTGTTTATTCAATCTAAAGCCAGTCAATTTGGAAAGGTTATTGGCTATTACAGTTTTGGCTGCAGGTTTGTTTTTTTTTAGCTGTTCCTCAGGAGATATCTTGCTATGCATTTTGCTAAGTGCTTCATCTCCCTGATTTGCCACGCTGTGAATAATCTTGTCATAGCTCATAGAGAACTTCAAACATTTTGGCTGGTATTTAAGATTTTAATGAATGTTTTATACTCTCTGGAAGCTTCAGGAAGATTTATTGTGTCATCACTGTGTGTGACATCTACTGTATGTATAAACTAGCTGAGTGGGAGTGCAGTTAGGATCAAGTCTTCTCAAGCAGTTTCTTGGTGTAGTGACAACATGCGAACACTAGGGGGAGTCATGAGATTATAAATGCAAACACAGGCAAGACATTTTGACTTTGTAGCTTTGTTTTACTTTACAATAACATGTGCTTCAGTGTAATACTTGCACAGACTCTGTTCTTTTTTGCACAATTACACCTACTTTATATTTCCATTAATTAGATTTTTACAGTTGCTAACATATAGCCTTCCTGCTTCTAGTTCTTGGATTCTTATAAGGCACAAGATAACTTACATTACTGTCAAAGTTTGAAGAAGGTGCAGGAAAACATGGACAGTAACAGACAGAAATCTGCAAACAAACTGCTACAAATAGTACATAGTCAGGAGCTGCTTACCTTTTTAGCTTGTCAGTTTCACCTTTTTTTACTGGTTTTGTTAGGAATTTACCAAAACAAATGTTAAGGACTAAAAGTATCCAATACTTAAGGAAAAGGCAAAAACCAGAAATAAAATCTACATAATCTTTTCTAAATGATTTTTAGACCTCTTTGTGAGGTCCCGACAGTACAGTATCTGTCAAAATTTAATTATATAGCAATTTCATACAGAGGAGGATACTCACTGTGCTTTAGATGAATATTAAAAAGGAAAGAAAGAAGAAGCTAAAATAATAGCCATTCATCACAAGCACATGGGAATTATTCAGCTACAAAGATACATTGCTTGTTATTGAAATGCAACAGACAAAAGAAAGGTTTACAGGCTACTTGTGGTATCAGAGAACCAAACAAACATAAAAATAACAGCAGTACAATAAGTGTTAGATTTTGACAGTCATATAATTTAACTGGTATATTGAGGCTGGGTCTTCATGTATAGAACAGCACACGAACAACAGAGCAATGCTCTGTATGAACTGGTGCTGGAGTAAATGGTGATTCTCATTGGGTTATGCACTATCAGACACTTTCCCTCAATTCTCCCAGGACACTGTGCAAAGTGATGTCTCTGTGTAAAACCTTTTGATGAACAAAAGTGGAGAAGAGGATAATTCTTCTTATTATTATTATTATCTGTAGGTCTTCGCACACTGGCAGATGTCCAGCAGTGGATCAAGAAAGAGCACCAAAGCTCTCAAACCAGCAGTGTCACAGACGGGTACGTTGTGTCGGCCAGTGTTTCACCAGCACTTTAGCTCATGACTTTCAATACAATGAGGAGCACCATTGTAAAAACAGATAATCATAGTAATAATGATTACAGCCCAGTATCATTACTGTTATGTTGCCTTAAATCCTTAAATTCCACTCCTGACTGCTGTTGATCCTCAAGGCTGTGCTCTCATTATGATTCAGGCACTGGCAATAACAGTAGCAAAGACCTTGTTTTGTAAATCAACAGAAGCTAATGACATGGCCAGGACAGTGGCCCTGATAAAACAGCAGGGAAAAGAAATCTGTAGTGGCTTCACAACCTTTCCCTCACTCACTCTGCGGGAGCAGCCCTTCAGTTTGTGTTTTTGTTGTTAGTCCTTTTAGCTTCATTCCTCTTCTGGCCTGTTCATAGCTGTACCAGCAGCAATCTGAAAAACAATGTCAGGAATTTTCTGCATTCATTAGTGGTATGTGAACAGAAGGACATGTTGTGAAACGTTATCATGGACCTAATATTTACACTGTTGTTAAAAGTGTGACCATATGATTACCGCCATTCAGTGACCGATTACATGTGCCAGATGACTGATCTTCTCCTAGCCACTAGTGCCTTCAGTAGTTCATGAAACAGTGTGCGTACCAACGTTTGACTTTGAGTAGTTGATACTCAACATTTTAGCACAAACTATGACCAGATTTGTCGCACATGTGCAGTTTCTGTTCATTTCAGTTGAATTCCTCTGACCTGTCTTTATGCAGGTACATGCATAGAAACACATAAAACAAATGTGCATGAAACTTAACGGCACATAAGAGTCATCATAAACACATAATGATACAAAAGGAGTCTGGATCATTAGAGCACACATGAAATACAACCCCATGCTAGAAACCTTTAATGCACTGAAAGCAACAAAACACAGGCACTGTTTCACAAAAGTGTCTTAAGGCTAATGTGATTTTTGACAATGGGACTAACATTATCTTACTCCTAAAATGCTTTTGGGAAACATGACCCAGAGTTTATTATAGGCACATTTATGTCCAATGATGTCATATTTCATACCTATTAAAAAAACGTACCTGTCTCTTATTTGTTGCAACCATCCTCTGTTTCAGTTTGAAAGCACCTGAGTCCAGAGCTCAGCCTTTACCCCAGAGAACAGAGAACCAAACTGGCTCCAAAACTGCAGCAACATCCCAACCTAAAAGGTGCAGCTGTGATCAAACCTGTTATTCATGTGTTTTAGCAAAAATAACCTCAGATACTTAAGTAGCCAGAAGTATGTGGCTTGTTTGTCTCTGTTAAAGTAATATACCTGAATTATGATGGTTTAAAAACTTATAGGAATGAATTCTAAAGTATATATACATACAGTTTACAGTAACATGCTTCACAGGAGTAAGCATTTGGACAGTGACTGTTTTTTTTTTTTTTAATATATTTTGTCTCTGTGCTCCACCACACTGCATTTGAAATGAACTGAGTTCTTTTTTCAACTGTTGTGTGCTCACGTCTGTATTGGCTGAACAGCGATGGACTCGCTGGCTTTTTTTATATACAGTATATTCAGTACCCAGTTCTGCAGCAGGTCAGTTATTCTGAACATACTGTACAGACAAAGCAAGCAACTAAGGGCTTTTAGGAGGCCAAACTGTGGAACAAATCACATATCTGGCAGCTGGAGTGTGACCAGGGAAAAAACCAAGTGCCATCTGAGGTCTGTGGGTCAGTGACAGCAAAGGAGCTGATACCACACAGTGTATGTAAAATATAATATAGTTCCCATATTTTTCAGCTGATGTAGATGTAAACAAGTCTTATTTGTAAGATGTGTTGTCACTTTAATATTACAGTCTGGAGTACAGCGCCAACACAACAAAAATGTATGTGACTCTATGTGACTTGGCATGTGCTTTTACAGCCTCTTGAACTTTTCTAAAGCTCAGACAAAGACATTATAACACAATCACAACAACAAATATTGTCTATCTTTGTGTTTGGTGCATCCAGCTGTCCTGCTGAGCCCCCCTCAACCATCAGTCATCTCAATGACAGCAAGGTCTCCATGCTGCAGGAGCTGAGGGCTGCCTTTGAGGAGAGGGCAGAGGAGGTGGCTGAGCGCTACATCAGCGTCCTGGAGCTCAAGGCCAGGTCTGGTAACCACCCAGACCCAAGAACAATATCTTCTGCTGGTTTTCCCAAACCAGCACTCATGTATCAACATGATGGTTACTTGCTGTTTTTCTCAGAAGCATCATTTATATGAAATCATTCTTTTTTTCCTTTTACAACTTGAACTTGAAGAGAAGTTTATTGTGTTTAAAGTGACATTTCATTTTAAAAAGGTTTGTGATTGCTCAGGGCACTAGACTGTGGTCTGTACAGTGTTTACTTTGACTGTGAGGGGTAACGTCCTCATACTACGTACTGTTCATACTAACAGCCATGTTTACTCTGTTGTATCATTCTGTGTGCTTAAAACACATTTAAATACATGTTAAATACCGGCAGTGCACCAGTACAGAATAAACCATGTGCCGGCTGTAAGATAATGTGAGTTTGCTGGTTTTCCCGGTTCCTCCTTTCCATTCAGTGTTCTTCTCCCATCTAGGGAGTGGCTGAACAGCAGTCTCCAGAGATATCAAGCCTCTCGTCACATGACCGGGTTCCTTCACCCTCCTGTGACCTGCAAGTCCCAGGAGGAAGAGGCTCCGAACAGCAGCAGTAAAAACAAGCACAATATGTGGTACGCAACCTGGTAAAGAAATGATCTGGTGTGGAATGTGAGGTGGGGTGAGGAGGTTCGTTGGCTGAGGTTGGGGTCAGATTTGTGTTTGCACGCATCTGTTACTGTGTATGCACATGTGATGTGCGTATGTACCGCAAAGATAAACCGTATTCTCATGTGCATGCTGTTGTTGGTTACTGTGTTTTGTTGTTTTTATCAGGCTGTCTACTCTGCTGAGCAGCCTGCCTGAGGAGGTGCGTAAGGAGCAAGCGGTGAGCCGGGTGCTAAAGAAGTTAAGTGGTTTTGCAGAGCAGCAGACGATCAGGGTTCGACCTCAGCTCTTTCTGAAGGTGCTGGGGGGTCTGGAGGCATGGGAGCTGTGTCTGCCTGAGCTGTGTGTGGCCATCCAGGTACACTTCAGACCCCTCACATCAAGTATCACAAAGGAGATAAAGTTACATTCTAAGGATCATTGAGGCTTTGTTGTAGCAGTGCTGATGTCCCTCTTTTTTGTTTCAGTACACCAGTTGAAATGAAAGGAGGATCAAGCCAAAATAACAGATTTTATGAAGAGTAGATTGTATTCTATGTTGGAAAATAATCTATCACCAGACCAGATTTGATCCAGATCTGATCCGGAGTTCGAATCTGGCATCCATTTCAATTTAACAATGAAAACCCCATTTAATGCAGATCTTCTGCCATAACTTGACCTGTAACAAAGGTAGAGCCCTGAAATATTCACATAAGATGCACAGTATAACTGCCTGTCATACCCTAAAAGATGATCTGGGTCAAGGATTTTAGGACACATTTTGTGTTGTTCTGGGTCTCATTTTTCATAAGGGACTTGTTTGTGAAATGTTGGGGAATGTTGTGCCATGGTGGAGGTACATGCGCTCTCTGGTTTCCATTTCTGGCTCAGCAGAATGACGCCAGGATGGGCTGGACTGGGGGTTGTGTAAAATTGCTGATGCGTGTGTTTTAGGGGAAAGCTGCATCAGGGCTTGGGACACCAAAGTATAAATGGGTTGACAGGAGTTTATTTTTCCCCTTGTTTAATCCAGTGTCTCCTACATGTTTTATTTCTTACTTTTGACCATATAAAGTATCAAGGTATCTGGATCTGATTTTCTTTCTATCTATCTCTGTTCTCTTCTATTTAAATGACCCCCTCCCTGTCTCTTCCTCTACCAGGTTGTCATAGAGCATGTGGTCCAGATGTCCAGGGAAGAATACGATGCCTGGCTGTTTTCCAGGGTCACTGTACCCCCACAGTACCACGGTGCCCCTCATACACCAGGTGAACCACACTCAGGAAGACCTGTACAGAAGGCAGAAGGCAGTGACAAATAGATGACACACACAACCACAAATGTTCTAATCTAAATGTGAGCTTGAGGTTGAAATTACCTAAAATAGCCTTAAAAGTAATGGGGCAAAAAATCCTGTTATCAGGCTTTTCGGCTTATTCACATGAATGGAAAAGTGGGAGATTTTAGCACCACAGAGCCAACAGAAAATAAAATGTAGATTAAAGATTAAATTATTTTTACCCTAAGCATGTAGAGGAAGAGGATAAACACAGAGGGTGCTTCCCATAATCTTAAAATGTCGCCTCCTTTCGTTCACTCACATCTTATCCTTGCGTCCTCCCACATAAGATGTGAGGGGAAAAAATACAAGGAGAGAGAAATGAAGCAACTGTGTTTGTAGAGGCATGAGACGTCCTTTCGTCCAATCTGTCATCTGAAACAATGTTAGCATATATGTTTTAAATAAAATGGAAATTATGTAAATATCACGTCAAAGTATTATTTCTACCTGATGCGCAGGGATTTTTAACCTGAATGAAAGCAAAATTTTATTCTAATGTTTTTACTGCCAAAAGACAACAGACAAGTCCTTTGTGTGTGTTCGTACATTTGTGTCAGTCTGATAAAAGACTGAGCGCTTTGCTGCTGTGTGATTGTCAAAGATCATTTACAGCATGTCCATTTAAAAGAAATAGACCTTTTATTTCTAGTATGTGTTTCTTCTAATAACTTCAAGTCATCCTTGTCCATTTATGATAAAATGTATTTGTTTCCCAGTGTGGGATGGGGCAGGGCACAAGCCTACTTCAGCCCATGTGTGCGGGTGTATGTGTGCAGTGGTAGTTCAGCAAAAGTGACAGGGGAAAGAGGAGGGATAGGAATGGAAATGATGGCTCACAGTGAGCTAGTGCAGATTTCAGGAAT